ATGCTTACTAATGAAAACTATTAAGGTAATGATACAAGGGGCAGCTTTTTGAGCAATGTTGCTGGGCAACCTTGCCATCAGCGGGCAGCCAGGTGAGACACAGGGCCCACGGCCAATCTAAAGTATCCAGATTTGTTGGCCATTCTCAGTGAGAAAGTTCCCAAGCAACATTTTTTAAAAAGTTGCCCCGTTTATTATTACCTTTACATTAATAAGTATTGTTGCATAAATAATAAACAAATAATACAATTATCAATGCCAACCTATAGTATTAACAAATTTGAATGCGCTAAATACGATCTAATTTAAAATATTTAATATAATTTTATATATGGGTCTCTTTTAAAGTTTATATGTAGTGTTTATAATGATTTAAATGTGCAGGTGTTATAGCACAATTCTTAACACCCCACTCGAGACCTCACTAATTTTCAAACCCTGGTTATGGCCATGTTGTTGTTTTTTTTCCCCAAGTATTATTTTATTAGTTTTATTATTATATATATTTTTTAATTTCAGATTAAATGGCAAAGTGACTGTGCTTGGTTGCTTTATGTCAGTCAGATGTCCTCTTCTTTTCTAAGTGACTAGAAGATTCATGACCAGAAAAAGCTACAGTGAGCACCAGTTAGTGGTCTGGTTCTGTGAGTCTTCTACTCACATGGCTGTATTTTTTTTTATTTGACTTTTTTAAGGGTATCAAAGCAATGTGGACAAAAGTAGGTTCAGACAGGTCACAAGACACGGGAACGGTAATTAGTCTCAAGTCTGTGGGTACATCTGTAGTATAAGTCATGCCTCGGTAGTCTCTCACAGCTAGCTAATTTTCTTTTCCTTTGTGCTCAGAGGATTATGTTAGTCGAGACATCTGTCTGAACTTTGAGGACTTTGAGGTTTTGGGGGCCACACAGCCTGTTTGCTCCATAGGTGGGCAGCCTCATATCACTGGCGGGCTGATTTCTGTTAACTCAAACTATCCTTTAATGCTGCTAGCTGGTGCTGAATATCTCCGTTTTGGCAAGAAAGGGTGCTATTTGTGGAGCTTAAAGGCTTTACTGAAGGGGACATGAAATTATTATCTTTGAAATTATTTATCTTAGCTATCTATGTTTTTCCCTCTTTCGATTGACTTCGAGTTCATAAGGAACTAGGACGGCAACAAATGATTTTGATAATCGATTAATCTAACTATTATTACAACAATTAATTGACTGATCATTGATTATTTTACAGATTAATCTAGTGTTGTCACAGTACCAAAATTTCAGTATTTGGTACCAATACCAGTGAAAATCCACGGTTCTCTGTACCAATTTCGGAACCAAATCAAAACACAAAAACATGCTAATTAAAAAATTTGACTATACTTTCATTTAATCCAAACTGTGTGCATACTTAATTTTAAAGGGCTTTAGCCAAGAATAACAACTAAGTTAGCAAAAAAACAAAAAGCCCAGAACTACATTTCTGACTGATATGACACAATGTTAACCATTTGTACATTCTTTAACACGCATATTTTAGATTCACAATTCATTTAAAAATAGTAAATATCATCATGTCCTCCTGTATTTTTTACCCTAATAAAAGTTATAGGAGCATTAAATAGTTAATAAAGAAACTTTATTCTAATGTTCATTATATTAGCGTTAGCCGCACTTATGCTAACGATTAACTACTCTAATAACAGCGTTCATTTCAATCCGACATTCAAATTAAAATATTGAATAATATGCATAACAGAAGCGGTGTTTCCCCCAGACTTGCACTCTATTTGTGGCGGCATACATAGGCAAATTCATTCTCTGCCAGCAGGAGGTGCTTGTAGAGCAAGAGAGAGAGTTTTCCTCTGTAACACTGTACACATAGCAGCGCTCCGCTCACAAATGCTGCTCAGGCATTACAGGCAAGATTAAATGAAAATGACATGCATCATTTTCTGAAGACAGTCGGTTTCCTTCAGAAATACAGTGATATAAAAACACCCGCACCGGGTTTAGACTTTGACACGTGCAGTGCTCATGTTTATTCAACGAAGTCAAAGCCTTTTGGAAAATCTATTTGTGGCGTTCAGTTTTGATATTGTGGCAGGCCGCCACAAAATCAATGTGTGAGAAACACTGATCTAAATATTAAAAATTAAAATGAAACTTACCTGCTTGAACTCTTTCATTTGATCTGGGTGTCTGTCTTTAAAGTGTTTTGTTAGTTTGGTGTGTTTCCTTGTTTTGATGTCACCACGTCTCAGTGCTTTTATGAAGAGAGCGCATCTGCGCACCTTTCGGATAGCGCATCAAGAACCGGGTTGACCGGGTACTCGGTACCACCGGTACTTAAAAAAACCTGGTAGCGTAACGTTTTCATTTTTTTAGTACCAACTTGGTACCGAAGTACCCTGGTCTTTTGACAACACTAGATTAATCAGTAGGCTTTGTTCTATTATTCAGCTTTTACAATTAGTTAAAATATTGAGTTACGCATATTCTAACTAATAAATAAGACAAGGAAGACAAACTTCAGCTTTTGAAAATGTCAAACAATTATATTATTGTAACACAATTATACAATATTTTTTGACAATACAAATAAATATATTTGGCACACAAAATGAGATGACACACATAGAGACTTTCTTATTCACCATTTAATTAACTGTATGTAAAAGTAACTGACTGATGCAACATTCTGCCTGACATCTCCTTTTGTAAGTCGTATGGATATGGAACAAAATAAAGGTAAGGGATAAGATTTTATTTTTGGGTAAATTATTTTATTCAAAACATTTGCTCTCTTAAAACACCTTACATTGTTATAATGATCAAAACAATTCTGAGCTAGATTAAGCTTTAATCTTTAATCACTTTAATGTAATATGATTTTTTTTTTTTTGCATTCACTAATAAAAAGATTTTATCATTAGCTAGCTCCGCACTGAAGAGCTGCTTAATAACACATAATCAAGTTGTAATTCTAACTGAAAGCAACACTGACCCTTTTTTTCATATTTAATACTGGGGTTTTTTGTGTTGATTTCATTATTGAGAGGAAAGTGCACAGCACATATTTACATATTATAAAAGCTGTTTTCTGCAGCGTCTAGTTCAGCTCTTAGATGCGGCTTTATAAGCGCACGCCTTGGGTGTGAGCTCACAGAAATGGGTCTCACAGAGAAGCGCGCAAGTACTGAATTGAGCACTTGAATGTTTCAAAATGTAAGACTCAAAAGCATGTGCAAATGATATGTTCTGTCATCTGTCCCGAGTGTCTTTCACTCTGAAATATTTGTGGGAATTTCCCACGTTTTCAGGCGTGGAAACTGCAGGAATGAGTAGAATTATGCGCGATCCCCACAATCCCGCGACAAGCCCTGGCACAGATGTTTTTATCATTGATAATAAGAAATTATTCTGTGCATATTAGAATGATTTCTGAAGGATAATGTGACACTGAAGACAGGTGTCATGGCTGTGGAAAATGTAAGGTATATTAATCTAGAAAACAGATATTTGGAATTGTAGTTTTTTCACAGTATTACTGTTGTGTCCCCCCCCCCCCCCCCCCCCCCCCCCCCCCCGCCCCTCTCTCCTGCTGCAGACTTCGCTGACCCACGCCCCCCTCACCACAGTTCTGTTTTCAGTTATCAGCCCAAATCGGATGGTGACCCTGTTTCTCATGAGGACGTAAGCTATTTTCAACATTTACAGGGGTTAGTCTGTGATTTTTTTTTGCCATTTTCTGAGAGCAGCGGTATTTTTTATTAAATTGCACCTTAGTGAGCAAAATACTTTTTGAGCAGTAGTGTATATGGATTTCATGTTGTCTCTAAGGGTGTACATCTAAAACATCAAAAATTTTAGCAAAAAAAAAAGATACTAATAATCATCTACTGTTGTTTGATAGGTATGTTTTAGAAAGGGTATGTGTACTCCCATCCCCCTTATGTTTGAGCAGACCCCATGACAGACTGATGGGCTCCAGTCACCCTCAACGGGGCCTTTCAGTCATGATAAGGTTTGCCCCAAGGCATGGCAGAAGATTCCAGCTGTCAATCAACTTCACACATCACTGCGTCTCATTCGTGTGGGAAACACGCCTCCACTATAGATTTCAGTCTCGTGTTCATCATCACTGCCACTCTCCAGCTGTTCATTGAGGGCTGGTTGCAGTAGAACTGGGATCGCAGGTGTGCTGTGCTGACTGGGAGAAAGGCTTTTCAGGTCGAGTCTCTCTCAGGAATGTAGCCGGGAAGGAAACACTGTTTAGATTACAGCGTCGTTAGAAAATGGAGGCCAGGGAGGGGAGAGCAGAGATGTTTTGCTTTGAGGGGTGAAGTCCTTAAACATAAACATACTACACTTGAACGTTTTTCCTTCACTGTATGGAGGAGGTGGCAACTGAGGATATTGTTCTTGGTCTAAAGGATGAAAAGCATTCCATGTGGTTCTAAATGGACAGGCTAGAGAGAGAGGAATGAACTGTGGTCAAAACTTGGGCCATAGGTCCCATCAGCTTTATGTGAAACATTCTAGAATATCAGCATGAACACTTCAGCCTGTTATAAGTCATATCCTCCTGATCGGAAATTGTAATTATATTTCAGTGGCTGTCATACCTGCTCTCTGACATAATGGATCCAGATCTTGCTTTATCCTGCAAGGAAGTGGAACTATGTCAGACAGTGGTTGTTCACCACACTGAAAGAATGTATTTTATGTATTGTTGCCTTGGTTTCCTCTTGTACCATATACTTCCAGGCACTGTGGAATACATTAAGCCTAAATGAGCACATAGGATGTTTTGATGGTGAAATATAGAGTTCATATGAGAGCAGATATGGAGTCTGGCATTATGAAACTATATTTTACTCCTCTCATGAGGCAGGGTGGTTGTGTGAACGTAAATGTTTAACAGTTTAAATTCTGTCATCCTTATCGGTTATATCATTTTAATTATTCTCTCTCTCTCTCTCTCTCTCTCTCTCTCTCTCTCTCACTCTACAGGTCTTGATGCTGAGTTGTACTATGTGAGGGATGATGTGATAAATCATTATGCCCTTTCTTTCATCCTGCCTGTCCCCAGTGACACTAACAGCCTGCATTTCACATGGCACTCCAGCAGCAAGGTTGGCCCTGTTCATGTATCCTATGTAAACTACCATTCAAAAGTTTGGTGTCAGTACATTTGTTTTTGTTTACTTTTTGTTCGTCAAAGAATCCAAAAAAATTGTAAAAAAGTTTCCACAAAAATATTAAGCAGCACAACCGTTTTCAACTGTGATAATTATAATAAATATTTCTTAATCCCTTAACTGTCAAAGATCAGCGACGGCCCCAGATTATTGTTGATTAAAGGTTTCCACAAAAATATTAAGCAGCACAACCGTTTTCAACTGTGATAATTATAATAAATATTTCTTAATCCCTTAACTGTCAAAGATCAGCGACGGCCCCAGATTATTGTTGTTTCACTTTAACAGCACGTTAAAACATCTCACTCTTACTTGATCTGGACAAACTGTACGTCAGTAGAAAGATTAAAGACTCTAGCTTCTATATTTGACCACTGTTTTGATAAAACATTGTTGCAGTGACAGTAATTTATGTCAGGAGTGCAAAATAATAAATCCGTATGTGTCATATTTGGAATAGGAATTCACCACGCATTCATATTCAGTCACGTCTGCAGCGGTTTATTTGTTCACATAGCTTCACTGAACAGCGATAATAAGGGCTTATAGTGCAAATATGCATATACATAGAGATATATAGATATATTTACTCATGTTTACTTCATATTTCTTCAGACAGAATAATAATTTCTATTCATTTACCACTGATTTACGCGATCTGATGATAATTAGCCGCTCCCTGGGCTGTCTCGGTGTGTTTACTCTTCCGTGCTCACGCTGTGACAGAGAGAGACCTGATTAGTCCGTCGCCTGTCAATCAATGAAGCAATGTTGCTTGGAAAACCTTGTAATGCCAAAATAAAGTTTACTAATGGCTGAATAAAACAAAAGAAGAATGATAAAGGAATAATGAGGATAATGTCTCATACCTGGCCAGACATGAGGCGACAGCATGCAGGAGAGCTTACAGAGGGCCATAAATCAATTTTATTAGCCTTTTGTTAGCCTTCTCTAAAAACACACCTGTCATGGTCTTAGAAAAAAGTTTTAGAGATTATGTCCTGAAATTTGTGTTAAAGGAGACATATTTTATGCCCCTTTTTACAATATGTAATATAAGTCTCTGGTGTCCCCAGAATGTGTCAGTGAAATTTCAGCTCAAAATACTCATTTATTATATCATTTTGAAAATGCCTATTTTGAGTGGAAGCCGAAACACGCTGTTTTTCAGGCCTGTCTCTTTAACAAACAAGAGTTACAAACTTTCGCCATGGCATTAGAACTAGTACACCATTGTCACTTGCGAAAACACAACAACGGCGCCGTGGGTGTAAACTTACAGATTAAGAGGCGGTAATGTTATAATGAGATCCCTTAACAACGTCACCAAGGGAGCAAAATCAGACACGCTCGTTTTCTCAGACACTTGCAGAAAAAGGCTTCCCAAAACAAAGTTACTGAGTTAATCTTTTTCACGTTTCCTTGGTTGGTAGATGCACTGGGGACCTGATTATAGCACTTAAAACCTGGAAAAGTCAGCTTTTCATATGTCACCTTTAAAAGTAAATGAAGCATGAGTAGACGTGTGGCTTTAGCTTCATTGTGTTTCTAAAAACCATTTACCACAGCAACATATTTTTTATACATTTAAAAAAGTTTTTTTTATATTTGTATTTTTGTTTTTATGTTTGAGCTTATATATCTCTATTATCATAACAGTCTGAGTAATTCAGATTCTTGAGTAGTAAACTTTGAAGTGTCAGCTTTGTGAACATATGTTGATTATGTATCTAGTCAGAAAGACTCATGAGCAGCAACCTTTTTATTTTGGGTATGTCATTTGTGTCTCCATGCCGAAAATGGGGGGTGACAGCAAAGGGGTTAAGCACCTAATCAGCAGAATGATGTATTAGTAGTAGGGTTGGGTATTGTTAGAAATTTTCCGGTTCCGATTTTGGTTCCATTTAAATGAACTATTATTTTTTTGTCACTATTTTACCTTAATTGAATGTAGTGTTGCTGGAAGGTAGTAAGTAATGTTGAGTAATGCATGTGCTTCAAAGTTGATGGTTTTTACACTATCAATAACATTTTGCTTTTCAAGCAGGAATAAGCTGTTTGGCCAAACAGTCCCTTGAGGGCTAAGACACTTGTTCATTTCCCTAAATTAATTAAATATTATACTTATAACGTACATTATACATGTATACACACACTGCATAAAGCCCCTATTTTACAAATAATAATGCATTCAGGAGATGGTGTGATGCAATGAGTGGCTTCCACATTTTTAACATTTAAAATGCATGAAAATATTTTCTATCACTTTATCACTCTTGAAATGACATTGTACACTAAATAATCTAACCCTCATACTTGCATAACAATAGCAGTATATTTATTTAGTGGTCCAAGTTGAAGTCAGTATGTATATTAATGACAATATGGGAAAAATATCATGTAATTTAGTGGCGGCAGGAGCTGCGTGCTGCCGGTACGTGTACAGTGAGAGAAAACAACGTGCACAGTTATCAAAGATGCGAGTGCGCATACAGTTGTGGAAAACAATGTTTTCGGCAGTTAAAGACACTGTGGAGTGCGCGTCATGGGAAACAATGTGCTCAGTAATTAAAGAGGCAGGGCAGCGTTTCTGTTATTTGGTTTGTGACATCCTTTACGGGAAACGCCGGCGCAAGGCTGCTCACAGCGCTTGGTCACGTGTCGCACCAGAACCGTTTTCGGAACCGAAACTTAGTAATTGCTCACGGTTCCAGTTCTTTTAAAAAAACAGAACAGTTATCGGTTCCCAACTTCCCAACCCAGGATCATGAGGCACTAAAGACCAAAGTAATGACATGCCATCACATGGATTACATTTAAAGAAAATAAAAAAATAAAAACAACTTTTAAATTGTAATATTTCACAGTATTTCTGTTGTTACTGCATTATTGATCAAATAATCCAGCCTTGATGAGTGAAATAGACTTTTTTCAAAACCAAATAAAAAACCATACCAATCCCAAACTTTTGTAATCGCTTTGTCCATTATAACTATGTACTTTCCACAATCCTTGTCTTCTGTTTAGGTGGATTACAGGTTAGAGTTTCAAGTGGAAAACACTTCAGCCATGGATCAACCTCAGAGCAACATCTCTGCTCAGGGGGAGGTCCCACGCACTCGTTCAGGTGAGTGAAATATTTCTCTCTTTTTTTTCTTCCTGTCACATGTTGTATATTCAAGTGAAAATATTCTGACTCTATCTTTGTATGTTTAAAGGTCCTTGCATTAAAAATGACCTGTTCTATTGGTAAAATTACTCTCGTCAGACATTTATTTATAAAAAGTTTATATATCACAACTTAAGAACCCACAGCTTTTTTTTTTAAAGGTCCCATGACATGCTGCTTTTTAGATGCTTTTATATAGGCCTAAGTGGTCCCTAGTACTGTATCTGAAGTCTCTTTCCCACTACGAGCCAGTCCCACAATGAGCTTTCCTTAGGATGTGCCATTTCTGTGTCTGTAGCTTTAATGCTAATGAGGAGGAGAGAGGCGGGGCAACTGCCGTGCTTCGCTCGTTTGCAAGCCATTATGTCTCGAGGGAAAAAAAAATATTGCGCTCACCTCGCACGGTAGTAGCTCATTTTCTCATAGGCGGGCCAAATTCTCTGGGCGGGCAAAGCAGAGAAAGGGGAGGTAACCTTTCCCCGTATGACGACATAAAGGGAAGATTTCAGATTGGGCCATCTGAGCTTTCATTTTCTCAAAGGCGAAGCAGGATACCCAGGGCTCGGTTTACCCCTATCGCCATTTCTAGCCACTGGGGGACCATAGGCAGGCTAGGGGAACTCATATTAATGTTAAAAAACCTCACTAATCAGCAGAATGATGTATTAGTAGTAGGGTTGGGTATTGTTAGAAATTTTCCGGTTCCGATTTTGGTTCCATTTAAATGAACTATTATTTTTTTGTCACTATTTTACCTTAATTGAATGTAGTGTTGCTGGAAGGTAGTAAGTAATGTTGAGTAATGCATGTGCTTCAAAGTTGATGGTTTTTACACTATCAATAACATTTTGCTTTTCAAGCAGGAATAAGCTGTAAGCTGTTTGGCAAAACAGTCCCTTGAGGGCTAAGACACTTGTTCATTTCCCTAAATTAATTAAATATTATACTTATAACGTACATTATACATGTATACACACACTGCATAAAGCCCCTATTTTACAAATAATAATGCATTCAGGAGATGGTGTGATGCAATGAGTGGCTTCCACATTTTTAACATTTAAAATGCATGAAAATATTTTCTATCACTTTATCACTCTTGAAATGACATTGTACACTAAATAATCTAACCCTCATACTTGCATAACAATAGCAGTATATTTATTTAGTGGTCCAAGTTGAAGTCAGTATGTATATTAATGACAATATGGGAAAAATATCATGTAATTTAGTGGCGGCAGGAGCTGCGTGCTGCCGGTACGTGTACAGTGAGAGAAAACAACGTGCACAGTTATCAAAGATGCGAGTGCGCATACAGTTGTGGAAAACAATGTTTTCGGCAGTTAAAGACACTGTGGAGTGCGCGTCATGGGAAACAATGTGCTCAGTAATTAAAGAGGCAGGGCAGCGTTTCTGTTATTTGGTTTGTGACATCCTTTACGGGAAACGCCGGCGCAAGGCTGCTCACAGCGCTTGGTCACGTGTCGCACCAGAACCGTTTTCGGAACCGAAACTTAGTAATTGCTCACGGTTCCAGTTCTTTTAAAAAAACAGAACAGTTATCGGTTCCCAACCCTAATTAGTAGGATCATGAGGCACTAAAGACCAAAGTAATGACATGCCATCACATGGATTACATTTAAAGAAAATAAAAAATGGAAATCAACTTTTAAATTTTAATATTTCACAGTATTTCTGTTGTTACTGCATTATTGATCAAATAATCCAGCCTTGATGAGTGAAATAGACTTTTTTCAAAACCAAATAAAAAACCATACCAATCCCAAACTTTTGTAATCGCTTTGTCCATTATAACTATGTACTTTCCACAATCCTTGTCTTCTGTTTAGGTGGATTACAGGTTAGAGTTTCAAGTGGAAAACACTTCAGCCATGGATCAACCTCAGAGCAACATCTCTGCTCAGGGGGAGGTCCCACGCACTCGTTCAGGTGAGTGAAATATTTCTCTCTTTTTTTTCTTCCTGTCACATGTTGTATATTCAAGTGAAAATATTCTGACTCTATCTTTGTATGTTTAAAGGTCCTTGCATTAAAAATGACCTGTTCTATTGGTAAAATTACTCTCGTCAGACATTTATTTATAAAAAGTTTATATATCACAACTTAAGAACCCACAGCTTTTTTTTTTAAAGGTCCCATGACATGCTGCTTTTTAGATGCTTTTATATAGGCCTAAGTGGTCCCTAGTACTGTATCTGAAGTCTCTTCCCCACTACGAGCCAGTCCCACAATGAGCTTTCCTTAGGATGTGCCATTTCTGTGTCTGTAGCTTTAATGCTAATGAGGAGGAGAGAGGCGGGGCAACTGCCGTGCTTCGCTCGTTTGCAAGCCATTATGTCTCGAGGGAAAAAAAAATATTGCGCTCACCTCGCACGGTAGTAGCTCATTTTCTCATAGGCGGGCCAAATTCTCTGGGCGGGCAAAGCAGAGAAAGGGGAGGTAACCTTTCCCCGTATGACGACATAAAGGGAAGATTCCCGATTGGGTCATCTGAGCTTTCATTTTCTCAAAGGCTAAGCAGGATACCCAGGGCTCGGTTTACACCTATCGCCATTTCTAGCCACTGGGGGACCATAGGCAGGCTAGGGGAACTCATATTAATGTTAAAAAACCTCATAAAGTGACATTTTCATGCCATGGGACCTTTAAAGGTTTTATCTACTCTTAATTCTTGTAAGGCCTGTGCACACCAAGACAAATTCGGTGTGATAAGCATTTTAATTTGAATGAACGGCAGTTAATGCAGCATTAACATTCACATGGCATCAATGCAACTGAATTTTTTTTTCACAGAGAGGTGTGAAAATCTCTTCTCCATTGCACTGTGAATAAAGACCAGCCTATACGATGCATGCTTTTGTTCACATGCCCAGAGCCGCTGCAGTTACATAAAACTATTGGTGACTTGGTGGCGCTTCCAAACAGATGATTTTGCTAAGCGACAGTGAATAGCAGAGGAAGAATCCTGTACTGGCTCTCTTGTCTCAGTACTCTTGTATTTGGTGTTGCCTGATAAACACCATAGTGAAAACTAAATCTAAGTGGCTCTTAGAAAACATACTGTCAATACTGTTTGCACCACTTACTGTCAGAGTTTTTTTGCATTTTTCTCTTTTATTTTTCTCAGCTCTTGCATTTTTCGCATTGTCTGAACAGTGTGAAATATTGACCAAATCTTCGTGTCGAACATTCGTATTGGTGCGAACAGGTCTTTAATTGGTCTTCTCATGTAGTTTAGTAGGAATCGGGCAAATGCTAATGTGCCAGCACAAAAGTAAAAGCAGCCCGTACCTTTCAAAAAGTTCAAAATGAGGCCCTGCGTTCTAGTGTTTACAACTTGAATATTAAATAAAATCAAATTTGGTCTTCCAGTAAGTATGCTTTCTGTGTGTCACTCCAGTGTTCAGAGTGGACCTTTTCTGCTCTGGAAAGGCTGATGGAGAGGCTGTGCTAACGGTGCAGTTGAACCTGACTACACCAGTCAACAACTTCACAGTGCTCAACTTCAAACGCAGGAAAATGTGTTACAGAAGTAAGATCTTTTCATACAGTTTTACCTTATTTCCTCCAATCCATCTTTGTTTCTGAAGATCTAGATCGTAGTTTGTGTTTTTTAACTCTATTTTTTTTTCTGTAAATATGCTGTGAGTTTTGTGTGTTTGGCAGATTGTGTGTCAAGTTTCACATTGCCACAGACTGCAAAGATAATAATAACACAGGCTTTCTGTCATATGCGTCCCCAGTGGAAATAGCCAGTGAATTTATTCTCTGCTTATTTGAAGCACATGAGCCAAATTAACTGCCGGAGAAGAAAAAGAGTTTGTGTATGCCCCAATTTTCTCTCCCTTGTGGAATAACTGGGTCAGCGAGTGTATGCGGTGCTCAAGAAGATATTGTCTTACACTTTGTGTGGAAGGAGTGAGATTTTACTGCCCTGGCAGCAATTTACAAACCAAACATAAATGAGACCACAATTAACCAGTTCATGTGTTTAGATGAATCTCATGAGGCCCATCATTTCAATGTCACGTTTCAGGCCAAAATCAAAAGAAAAAAGTAATATTTTGCTTAAAGGAAAATATTGTTCTCAATATCATAATCAAATAAAGTAATTAAAGTGAAGTATAAACGAGAGTTGCTTTTATTGCCTTTGTATTGTCTTTGATTTGTATCAGAATCAGCATAATTTATTGCATTATAGTATCTTTTTGTGTAATACAATAAAGAGATATAATGAGAATTAAAGGGTTTTTGCTTGTCACATAATATATATATATATATATATATATATATATATATATATATATATACACACACACACACACATATATATACACACAG